CATCTTAAAGTGGCCAAGTTTGGACAACACTGTCATAGACCCAAGGGAACAAGATAAAGTTGAAGCTCTAGTTAATGCTCTGACTAACGCAGGCCTTGGCTCCTGTACAGCTCAAGCATTAAGTATCAAGCATTCTTTTGAAGTTTTGTCCTTCAATGAAGGGTTCACCCATCAAACTAAAGTCTGACTTAGGACATTGCATGAACTGACCTACTGTGGTTCTAAATCATGGTCTAAGGCTTAGTGTCTTACATAAACTCACCCCATTGTGACTTAGTTGATAACTCATATGAATTCTTCTGACTCTTTTTAGGATCCCTAGAAAAGTTTCACCTGGCCCTGAGAGTATGTACTATGGAGTCTCTTACATTTAAAAGGATGGTCCCACTCAGTAGACCATGTTCCCTACAGTCATAGGCTGATCCACAATTGCTCAGAGCCACTAGTAAAGCTGGTCACCTTCTTTAGATACAGATGTATATTCAACTGTAGAGCATTCACTTGATATATATCTGTTCCAATTCATACAATTACTACTCCATGCTTCATAATGTCTTTTATATCCCTGATATTTTACAGAATCAAACCCAGAACTTCCGTTTTATATAAAATATCAAAAACATTGTGCCATCAAGGCTACATAATAGTGACCGTTTTAGTTTGGAATGTGCTACAGAAAAAGATACTATATATCTTGTAAGTAAAATAAATAAAGCGGCTATCTGTAACCAGAGCCCAAGTCTGTATATACCAGTCCAAATACCGGTGCAAAGTTTTGTCCAAAGCTCTCATTACCTGTTGGTGTTAGTGTTGTTATTTGTGGTGTCTCTGGGATGGGAGACCTGGACTCCAATTCTGAAACCTATCCCTTACTGCATGAATCCCAAACGCAATTGAGGCGGACCTATGCCTGCTGTGACTTCTCCCTACAAGGGCTTATTCATCTGCATCTGAGATGTGACTTTCTTTTCCCAAAGCGGTGGGAAGATTAATGAAAAGACAATTTCAGACTTTATCTCTGCTATAAGAGAAAAAAATCTACCATGAAGATTAATCTGGGGAAGTCTGGACTGAGACTGATAACAATTGGTGAGCTAAGAATTGACACTTCCTAACTAGGAGTAACATTAGATGGCTAACGCCACTCAACCTGACAGTATGTTTGGTCCCACAATTTTTGCAAGGCTGTATGATACAACTCTGTGATGCATGTGATGGGATAGAAGTCATCAGGAGTTAACTAATCAGCACCGTACATCATTTCAGCTCCTAATGTAGTTATGGGTACTGCTGTCCCACTGCTTGCATGGTTTCACCCTACTGCAGAGATTTCCAATTATTTCCTCTCCCTATGTGCTCTTATATTATTTAAGCCCAACCAGAAATATTTATCTAATATTGCATCTTATTCACCATAAACTGGAAGCAATTGCATTGATTTCCTCTGACCATCATATGCAGCTTCCTTCTATCAGTAACTTTCCAAAGACAACTTTATGACTTTCTTTCAGTGGCTGAGTTTCAGCTGGCATGTGGTAGCATTACGTGTGCTTTGCTATTAGTGGTGTTGTAGGGTTAGCTTTCTTTTACTCTTTTTAAATTGAGTTGGGCGAGATAAAACTTTAACCGTGTCTTGATTAAGGAACATAAAAGGAATGAATATGCATCTTATTTTCTTAAAATCCCGTCTAATGCAGAGACAAACAAGCAGATGTTTGGGGGGGAGGGATAGACAATGCTGCTCCTGTGTGCTTCTGTATTGGTATTCCATCCCATATTGGCTATAATAATGCTGGTGAAAAAGTCTTTCCACCCATTCTTTTTGCAATAATGTGGGATTTCTCTACATGCACCAGTCTAGATTCCTCTAGCACACACAATTCTCCCACTATCTATAGTCCCTCACTATGAACTGTGTGATTGATGATAAACCTTCTTCTTTCCTAAAGGTGGCCTCTTTCTCACTATACTTCCACCCATGGAGGAAAGATATGAATAAGGAAAACACTGAGTAGGAAAACATCCAAAGCGGTGAGGGTGAAGAAACTTCACTCTTTGTCATGACTCCATTCAAAGTCAGTTTCTTCACAGCTGTTCTTTTTGCTAACATAATAAAACCATCATGTTGTGAGAAATTTACATCAGCCGCTATATATCTTTCAGTTTGGCCCTGATGAATAAACACATCTGGTCTAAACACAGATAATACACCTGAAGGACATTCAAAGAAATTCCAGTGTAGGCATTTAGAAGGGTGTTTGTCCAGAATTTTGGATGAAAGAAGAAATGTGTTGTCTATCTTGTGGTGGGGATCAGTGCTAGAATACAGTAATTGGAAATGGTGGTCAATCTGATTTATATTCAGATAGTCCAGTAGGGAATAGATTCCTATGCTCATACCAGCTGCTATATTTTATTTATTTATTTATTGTATTTATATAGCTGCCCATCTCACATAAAAGTGACTCTATAAAGTTACATTGCACAGACACACATATAAGCTGTGGGCAAATGTTGCATCATGTTCATGATCAAGTAGGTTTTAAACTATCTTTGTCACACTATTAATAAGAGTGCTGATCATGCTAGATAAGTGACCGCACCCTCCTTGGTCAGGCTACAGGGACATACAGCTTTTTTGGCCCCACCTTGTATCATATCCCTTCCTTTTACTTGTGAATCTTGAGTGCCATCTCTGTTGACCTGAATGTTGTAATCTTTATGAACAAAGTTTTTGGACAATTTAGGCTCCTTGTGATGAACCTCAAGCCCTATATAAGAGGCCATCTCAGCATGGTCAACATATAGAAAACCCGGAATTCTGGACAATAACTCTGGTTTGGAATCATGTGAAAGCCAGAAGAAGTAGGGTCCTGGAGGATCTGCTCACTTCAGCTTCCAGTGGGCATTAGAAACAGTCATGCTCTTGCTGCAACATGTAGAAGTGTAACAAATAAGACAAGCAATTAGAGCTGTCTCTGGCTGTGAGTGGTGTCAGATGGATCCATCACTTTAATCAGAGCTCTGGCACGTGGAGAAAATAGCTTCTAGATAAGGCTTCAGAGTTCTCCCCACCTTCTTTTGCCATAGTTAATTTTTTAATTTTATGTTGAAGTAATAGAAAGCACAACTTGGAAGCAAGCCTATGGTCGTGGAGCTGTTTGGGTTGTTTATTCTCAAAAGCCTCACTTAACAGATGGCACTTCAGGGTGGCAATATCAGGCTTGGTGAGATTGACAGTATTTTTCATTTTTGAGTAGATATAAAGATACTACTTTCCTTGCTACTGGTATCTCTCCTTGGTTTTTCTAAGCCTGGGAGAAGGGAATCTTGCAAGACCTAAATATGGAACTGAGAACATACCTGGAGGAAATGAGATATCCAGATCAGTACTTTGAATTCAGTGCAGTTATGGAATTAATCTTTCAGGGAGAGGAAGGTTAAGGAAAAAAACACACTATAATGTTCTATGTTTTAGTGATTTGTTTTAAATGGATGTGTTAATGTTATCATTAACAGCAACATTTCACCAATGGTAAAGTTACAAGATCCTTTTTTAGCACACTGCTTGGTATTTAGCAGAAAGAGACTAAGGGGAGGAAGGCTTTGAGTATAACTGTAAGCTGAAAAGACCAGTTAAATGCAGAACAGAGAAGAGCTAAAAGAAACACTCAGAGCTTTTAGACAACAGGTACAAAGCAGCTTCCTTTTGGTTCGTGGTGTTAGATTAAAAAAGTCAACAGTTTCTGACACTGGCTTGATTGCAGATGATCATAGTTTCACTGGTTCAGGTTATTTTTTCCCCCAGCTATTGTATATTTGTACTAGCCTATGGAATCAGACTTCTTTAGCTGTGCAATGATGGAAAATACTTTTCCTTTTTGTTGAATGGAAAGGAAGAACAACTTCAGTAACAGAAACCTGATTTTACTAAAATAAGTCCTAGGACCTCCACTTTGAGAATTTGGAGAACATCCTTGTGTCCTACTGCCAGAGGGAAAAAAAAATCAAGGTGAATTGAGTGGTTCTTTTTTAGGCAGGATGTACAGAAACAATGAGGAAAAATGGTTCTTTTACTGTATTTATGTCCTGCCTTTTCTTAGAGAGTTCAAAGCAGTTTACCCAGGAGTTTCTCCTAATTTTATCCCCATAACAAAATCCCTATAAACTATCTTGGGCTGAAAGAAAGGAATGAACCACTACACTGCACAATTTCTACACATACATTTATAATATATCGATATAATATAATAATATAATGATGTATTTCTTGGGAGATATCTGCACATCCATAATGAAGAATGTGGCATGCTAAAGTTCTATAATCAGTGAGAAAGAGGATGAAGAATGTGATGATCTGAGAAAAGTGGGATGATGAAGTCATTATCTGTGATATCTGTGATATTGGAAAAAATGGCTAAAGGAAGGACTGGTCTACAAATTGATTTTGTTCCATCAAGAAACCATTTTGTTTCCAAACTCTCCATGCTAGTGGAGACATTTGGTATTTCAGAGTTGCATTTACTAGAAACCCAGTGCTGAGAAAGCTATTGAAATCTGCATATCAGAATGTGAACTGTAGAAATAACAAGATAAGGTATAGTTGTCCTAGCCAGGATAATTTTAAGTGTAAGATGATAAGAGGGAAGCTACTAAGGCTGACCAATCTCATCTTAAAAGACTGTAATTTATTACATGAATTCATGTCTTGATCAGTTCTGAATTTGTAGCTTTCCATATAAACATATCCTTCTTTGATTTACCTATCTTTCCCTTCACTTACAATTTGACAGTGGAACCAATTACATAGAATGACGGTGGACTTTCCTTCAATGGATGTGTTCAACTAGAGACACATCTGTCATGGAAGTCTTAATTTGGATTCCTGCAGTGAAGAGGGAATTGGGCTCAATGACCTAAGTGACCTCTTCCAACATTAGGATTCTACAGTTCTGTGAATCCCATGGCCAACTCAATCCATCAGCATACGCCTTACTTACCATAGAGAATAATGCTAGCATTAGTGTTTCCTAATTGGTTGTAGGCAACACAAGTATAATTTCCATAGTCTTGCTCAGAGACATTGAAGAAAGTAAGACGGGAGAAGAAGGCCTTATTTTCCACTTTCAGTCCTTTCTGTCCTTCAAGGAGCCTGAAACACGAGAATTACAACGATAGGCATTATACACATGCAAACACATGCACAGACATACACAGACACAAATATTTCATTTATTAACACAGTGCTATATAATTTCTTCATTTGAGAAAAAACTAAAACAGCTTGTAACCCAACTATAAAAAAGTAATAATAGAATAATCCAGTAATGAAATAGTAATAGAATCATCCAGTAATGAATGTGATTAGTTGTTGGGGAAAGCTAATAGAAGAACCAAAGGTTTCAATGAATGGCTGAAACCAGTGCAAAATCTACCTTGCAATTTCTAGGTTTCCTTTTCTCCCCGGCTTCCTACATTCTCCTCAGCATACTTTCAGATTTCTTTCTATTTTCTCTTAGTGTTACTTTTAAATGTATTGGAGGTGGCAAAGAGTGGCATTACTGGTGTCACATCTTTCCACTTCTCTAAAAGCTTTCTAAGTGACCATACTTTCTAATCAGAAAAAGCTCCATAGGAGTTCCACAACTGTGACTTTCCTTCACATTTATTTGAAGTGTGGGAAGCCAAACAGGCCATGGACCTCTGGAGGAACAAGTGTATAAAGACAGGACACACACACACACACACACACAGAGTGTCACTCTCAATAAATATCTACAAGGCCACCATTCTCTACCCATCCACCAAACTTCAATTCTCCTGTGAAGCTGAATGATACTGGATAGAAAAATATGAAGGGAATATTTTTCCACATGGTATTATCAAAAGTACTTCAGAGATGGGGCCTGGTGTAATGGAGAGGGGAGGTCATTCCACAGGAAACAGATCACTGCAAGGAAGGCCCACCTCTGTGGGTAATCCTGAAGTCTGGCATGCACAGTGAAAATATCAAATGGCAATTATTATTATCAAGGTCATCTAGCCTAGAAGTTACAATAATACGATCATCTGAGCATCTTTCCAGTAGCCAGACACTCAGTGCAGACATTTTGAAACAGGTGCAAAAGGTTATGGTAGGGCGGGCTGGTCCAGAGCTGAGCAGGTTCATTCTGTGCAAATAATTTCCAATCCAACCCCAAAGGCAATCCCACATTACAGAGCCAAGTTCAGAAATCCAGTCCTGCGGTTGCCAATGCATGAATTCCAATAGCTGAGTGCTATACGAAAGAGAAAGAATGGTCACAAGTTCACTATGGAGATAAAATAGTTATAAAAGACTGCTGCAGTCGATTGTAAATTACATTGCTACCTATAATTTAATGGATTTGAGCACTGTAACTAGATTCCAGCTCCTCGCTTGGGGACAAAACTGATGTAATTTTCTGTGTTCACACGATCCCTTTATGAAGAGCTTTCGCTTAAAATATATATTGGAACTGGTTAGCCAGGGGTCTAGTTTCATGAGAAGCATTCCATGAGATGAATTCACTGAAATAAACATCCTTGCCACTTCGTAGCTGGGACTAGCTCAGCAGAACGTCTCTGACCCCTTTCAGCCAGGGTTTAGATCTGGTTATAGTAATGACATTGATTACGCTTGTTGATCTGCGAGATGGTGGAGGCACATCCATCCATCCTGGCCCTCCTTGAAGTCTCAGTGCCCTCAGAGACCATAGGATATTTCTGGATTAATTTATGGGGTTAGGAGTGGGAGGCACAGAGATTCTCTTCCTTCCTCCATGGGTAGTTCCAGTCAGTGTTGGCAGGGGAAACAGATCTAGCCCTAAATCCCTTTGTGTGGGGTGCCACAGGACTCTATTCTGTCCCCATTTCTATTTAATATCTATAGGAGGCCACTGGGGGAAGATCATCTGACAGCATAGGTTTGGTGTCATCAGTATCTAATCCCTAAAAATACCAGTTTTATACAGTATCTCCACCCTAGACCAGACAAACGATGCTGCCCGATGTTTTCTCAGATTCTGGAGGCTGTGGGAGCCTGGATGTGGACGAACAGGCTCAGGTTTAACCTTATCAAGATTAAGTGGCTATATCTTCTGGGATCCTCAGACCTGGGGATTTACCATATTTGGCTTTGAATGGGGGCAGGACCTCCCCAGACTGATATCCGAACAGGCAAAGAGGACACAGACAATTGGAAAGGAGGACAAAGCGAGGAAAAAGAGGACACACAGTTTAATGCTTGTGTTTACATTCATTGGAGAGGAAGGGATTACAAGTGAGTAAACAGCCACAGAATGGGGAACACACATTGAGTTGAGCCAGTTAGGAGGCAAAAGCCTTTGGTGTGTTACTGATTATAGTCATGTCAATTTCAGGTGGAGCTTATTTTTCTTTTTCTTTCTTTCTTTCTTTCTTTCTTTCTTTCTTTCTTTCTTTCTTTCTTTC